GTGTTAGATTTGCTAAAAGAATATTATTCAAAGTTTTCTCATCATCAAATAAAATCACGAATTTGAAACATTTGTAAATCTCTGAAAAACACAACAGCTCAAAGTTTGCCTTGTGACGTATGGAAAGCTTTTCCAATTAAACTTGTTCTAATGCAACAAAACAGCTTTGATGATTGCCAAAATTTAATTAAAAACATTAAACTCAACAYAAAACAAGGKTGAAATTCACACAAAACTTTGATTTTGTATATTTTTAGAGTGAAGATGTTTTAAGATTCTTCACTTGCAGCTGAAAAGTTTTCATTAGATTTCTTTTATTCCAAAACAGCGTAGTGTCCTTCAACACATCCTTCCCTCCTTTGTCTCCTCGGCCCTGCAGGAGACAGACTGCGGAGGAAAGAGAGGCTGAGAGGCAGCAGGCCAACCGGCTGATGCTGCAGCTTCAGCAGGAAGCTTTCCAGAAGACGTTGAGCCAGCCGCTGCAGCCGGACCCCCTCTGCCTGCATAACTCCTCCCTCTACGCCCTGCAGAACTTGCAGCCGTGGGCAGAAGACAATAAGGTGACCTCCGTCACCTCCGTGGCATCTGTAGTGTGAGCCAGTGTGTGTGTGTGTGCGTGTGTGGAGGAAATGCTTTTATTTAGCTGTGAATGGACACAATAGAGGAGTTTCTTCTAAAGTCTAGAATAAATGTTGTGTTGGAGAATAAAAAAAGAGTGGACGTTATGTTTTGTCAGTCATTGATTGTTACCAGCGACAGAGACAGAGACAGAGACAGAGACAGAGACAGAGACAGAGACAGAGACAGAGACAGAGACAGCTATCTGTTACTGCCAACATCTCCAAATCACAGGAACCACATTGACTTTGTTGTTTGTCAGAATTAAGCAACTGTTATCTTACAAATCTGTAGTCTGTTGAGTCATATCCTGCCTTACACCACGTTTTCACTTTCCCTTCAGCTGTCGGTCTAAAAGAGAAGAGGGCACTWACCCCTAAGTGGAAACAAATGGACACCTCTGTACATGCCCAACTACCGAGACTGTCCCCCCCCCATTTGCCTCTGGATCCCCCTCGCAAGGTGGCAGAGCCTCTCTGCCAGTAATGGAAAAATAAAAGACCTCCTGTTTGGGTTTTTTTTTGGCCCTTTTCTTTTTTYTGGCTTTTGACTTTGTACAATGTAGTAAAATGCATGTTTCAACCCTTTTCTGTGTGCACTCGGAGGTCCCACTGAAGTGTCCCCCCGCCGGCCGCGGAGCTCAGGCGGTGTTGGATTAGTCCTGATCATGGATGCCTCATTATGTTAAAAATCAAAAGTGTTTTATATTAAAAAAAATATTGTGACTTTTTTTGAAAAGATGACCGACTGCTTTCTTATTCTTGCCTCTTTCATTGACTGTTTATTTTTGTTTGTTTTTGGCCATGATTATAAAAATAATGATCACAACTTTTGGCCATGAGACCCAAAYAGCCGATACAACAGAACTGCTTCAGATCAAATAATACAGCTTTTATACAAGAACAAATATAAGTTTACTCACACACACATTATGGACATGAGCGTCATTAATTTAAGGCTTTAAGTCATTTCTTTGAACCATTTTATTCAGAGTGAAATGATGAAACAAGTTTATATATCCACACATTCAATGCTCATTAACAACGTACACTTTTTTGTAATTTTTAGCATTACAAGCTTCTGGGACGATTCCAGCTGGATTCGACCAATGGGCCTCATGCAAGAACATGTTCGTAGTCTTATCCTAAATTTCTCTTACTTTTGTT